CTCACCGGCGTCTCTACTTTGGCACGCGCGACGGTCGGCTGCTTGCGGGTGGTGTGGGCGCGCTCTACTACGGACTGGAAGAGCTCGAAGCTGCGGCTGCGCCGCAGAGCAAGAAACGTTGCCACCGCGGACGCGTTACGCAACTCGTAGCGCGCGGAGCACGCGTCGTCTCTGGTTGCGTCCGTGAAAGCGTCTGCCTCTGGGATGTCGCCCGCCCCGCCCCTCTCCTCCAGGCCGAGGCCTGGCACGCAGGACCCATTTCTGCCCTCGAGTTCGTCGACTCTCTCCTCTACAGCGCAGACCGCGCCGGCCGCTTCTGCGTACACGACGTCCGTTGCCCCTCTTGGCGCGCCCAAGCAGCCGCGCCGCTACGCTTCGCCGACGGTTGGCACGTCAACCAAGTCGTCCGCCTGGCCAACTCGGCTACGCTCCAGCTCGTGCTGACCCAGCCCGGGGGTGGCGGCGGTGGGTTGGCGCCCGCCTGCGCGCTCACGTTGGACGCCCTCACGTGCCGCGTGATAGCGCCACCGCTCTTCTTCGGGCCGCGCGACGTCCTGCGCCTGTGCTCGCCCTTGGCCGGCGAGGGTGCCAGCGCCACCGCCGACGGCGCGCTGCTCCGAGGACTGCAGCTTCCCGGCGCCGTCAGCGCAGTCGTTGCTGAAGGCACCGACGCCTACTTGCTCGCTCGCGACCGCGAGATCGCCTGCGTCAAGGAAGGCAAGGTCGTGCGCCAGTGGCCCCACCACCTCGACGCGCCCGTCGACTGCCTCTTCTCGTACCCCAAGGTCACCGACCTCGAGGTCTCCGTACCCTACATCCGCGGCTACGCCAGCGCGACCAACCGCGCGGTTAACATTACATAAAAACGCGCCGGCAACGCGCACACCTGCACTGCGCTCCCGCTCCCGCGCGCGCCCGCACCTGCCCACGACCCGCACACGTCGGACACGTCACCGGCTTCGCGGCGCAACCCATCTTCTCCACTATCGACACAACGTAAGCACAAGGGGAGCTGCGGGGGCAGGGGGAGGAGGACGGGGGTGCAGTTATGTGAAGCCGGTGGAGGGAGGAATGCCGACGCCGGGCGACGACGGCAGGGAGAGTTACCCAGCACTGAGCCCAGAGCCACCAAATTCGTGGCGATGGCGTCTCCAACGAGCACGAGGGAGTTCAATATTGTCTGGCACACATCCTCCGCCGGCGGCGCGGACTCGTACAAGCGCCCGCTGCAGCACGGACAGGCGGCTGCGCCGCGCGAAAAGTCCTTGGCGCTATGCGTGGGGTACTCCTTGGCGCCGCGGGCGGGGAAGAATTGGTCGTACTGGTGCAGATAGTTGCAGTAATCACAAATCTGCGGAGTATCGGTGGCAACACCACCTGTGGCGACACTTGGGGGAGGCGGACGGGCGGTGGAGTGGGCATACCGGACAATGGGGGTTGATCATTTTGAGTAGATCTGGCACATCCGAGGCTGAATTAAATTTTATTATGGCTCCGCGCGGGAAAGGGCAGACGCTGAATGTGTTCGAGAATACGGCGGACATCACTGACTTGAGTGTCGAGCACTCCCGCGACGCGCGCGGCGTGCCCGGGCGGCGCGAAGGCGGCGAGGGCCGGCGCCGCGAAGCCGAGCCGGAATTGGGTGACTGGGGTCGTGCACCGAGGGCGAACTTCGCCCAGCGCAGCGGCGGCTACGGCGGCAGCGCCTCGAGTCGTTTCGGCGGCGACCGCACCGGCGGGAGCAGCTTCGGCGGCGACCGTGCCGGTGGGAGTAGTTTCTACGGCAGTCGAGAGGGTGGCGCCTTCAGCCGCGAAGGCGGACGCGAGGGAGGCTTCGCCCGCAACAACACATTTGGCCGCGAACCTGAGCGGAACGTGTTCGGCACCCGCGAGGGCCTCGGTCGCTCGGCCACCGCCGGCGGCGAAGGCGACGAGCTTCCCGCGCGTTGGCGCCGCGGTGCAAGCACGACCACGGCCGCGACAAGTTCCGGCGGCGTCGGCCTCCGCGCGAAGTTGGCTAACGTTCTCGCGAACGTGGACGACGATAAGGCCCGCGCACCCGCAGCACCCGTAGCACCGAGCGAGGCCGCGAAACCCGCGGCCGCGCCCACGGCTGCGCCTTGGCGAAAGCCCGACTCGAGACGAGGCTCGGCCGAGAAGCTGGCTGAGAAGTCGGCCGAGAAGCCGACTGAGAAGTTGGCCGAGAAGCCAGCGGAGAAGCTGGCGGAGAAGCCCGCGGTCCCTGCCGCGACTCCGGCAGACAAGCCAAGGCGGCGCGACCTGACTGCGTTGATGGAGGCGAAGCCGCGCGAGGAGAAGCGCACGTTGGGGGCGCGCATGGAGCGGGCGGCGCCTGCGACCAAGACGTCGGAGGACTACTGGGAGGCGCACCGGCAGGAGGAGCGACGCGAGCGTGAGG